CTATGTCCTCTTTCATCCTCCTTTTCTGTGGGCATCCTGTCCCACTGCCTGGAACGTCTTTATCCCCATGAATCCCTTACCTAAGGCTTTAAACCCAACAATGGTTCCAACTTTCCCTTCCCTCATACAAGCTGGACCATGAAATATTGAGTTCCTTAACTGAACATTCTGAGTTACCAGATCAGTTCAGCAAAACAGTGTCAAAGGCTCACTGCCAGAAACTGAAATCCAATATGGATTGGAGACTCGCTTTCAGAAATGGCAAATCACCTTTGCTTCAATTTCAGCACAAATTATTAATTTTTAAAAGCTATCCAATAGTAACTGAAAAAAAGGAATTGTTTTTGTTAGATATTATATTTTCTATCCCTAGATCTACTTATAGTTTTGTATCCTAGGGACTAATGAAGTGTCTAATGAACCCAGTCTTCAGTAAATAATCTGCATCCTTTTACTTTTTATATACTTTTATTTTAGAATTAGAACATGATCAGAAAATAAATGCCAAATGTAGATAGAAATGTAACAGTAAAGGTTCATAATTATGTCAGAAAAGCCACATTTTCAGTGGGGAAAACGTAATATAACCTCTCCTACTTAAGTAATTCAACATTCACAATTTGGAAGCAGGTAGTTGCTTAATAAACTGCATTAAGAATACTGAAAACCCTAAGGGGGTGTGTGTTAGCAGCCACTACCCAGTACTTGCCGTCTGCCCACTCAAAATGTGAATATTTTTACCCTTTCCAACGCTATATATATATATAATTTTATTAATTCCATTTATACCCCGTCCTCCCCGCGAACAGGCTCAGAGCAGCTTATATTAGTCAGTACCCAGTACCATAAAACCATATACAAAAATTAAAACATTTTAAACATTTAGAGAATTAGATAATCAAAGTGCTAGTGATGGTAATCGTCTTTCAGTAATTAAGATGGCATACTATATAGTATACAAGCAATTGTTTCCGAGTCAGTGATCTTTTGGCATCTTGCGATGGTATGGCTCAATCTCCAGGCTGGAGCCAACCCATAACCACAGATGTTGGTGGTAGTGGTGTGGCGGCTCCTAATTGAAAGCCTGGTGGAAGAGCTCTGTCTTGCAGGCCTGCGGAACTGTAAAAGATCCCACAGGGCCCTGATCTCTTCTGGGAGCTCATTCCACCAGTACGGAGCCGCCACTGAAGAGGCCCTGGCCCTGGTAGCAGCAAGCCTGGCATCCTTAGGGCCTGGGATGGTCAGTTGATGTTGTGACCCCAACCGTAGTGCTCTCTGGGGTATATATGGGGAAAGGCGGTCCCTCAGGTATGTCAGACCCTGGCCATATAGGGCTTTAAAAGTAAGTACCAGCACCTTGATGTGGATTCAGTATGCTATTGGCAGCCAGTGCAGTGCCTTCAGCACAGGCTGGATGTTCTCCCATTTAGGAAGGTCCATCAGAAGACTGACCCTTCAGGCTTCCTTCAGGCTTCCTAAGACTGAGTTTAATTATTTGCAGAATAATTTAGTTCAAAGATTAATTTGATATATTGTAAATCTATTATAATGAGCTAAGATAGTTTGAGAATCTTATAAACATTATCATGTAATAATTTTGGTGTTAAATTATATAATTCTTTCTTCAATGAAACAAAATACATTAAAAAGAATATTGAAAACTCTCTTGAAATAAAGATTTTGAGTGTAAGAATTAGGCGGGGGGGAGCAGATGATTAAAGAAGCACGAACATGTATCTCTGGAACCACAACCATTTCCATCCCTTGTTGTGTAGCACTGTGGCATGGATGCAGAAACAAGAAATATCTTAGACAAAGAAACAACGAGTGACAACTAGGGATGGGCACAAACTAGCTCACAAACTAAAATTCATGACAAATTTTGGCCAGTTTATGGTTTGCAAAGTGAAGTTTGTGGCATGTCAACTAGCATGAACTTTCCAGTTGTTCGTGAACGGATACATTTCCAGACAGACTGTCTCCAATCTAAATGTTCACCATCCTTCAAAGCACTGGATCTGTTCTATATGCTCCTGAACCTGTGCCTGTCAAAATGACCACTTCATTTCCCCAGAAAACACTTTCCTGGGGGCACCTTCTTTGGGGGGCCATAACTTGGACCCCATGAATCCAATCCATACCAAACTTGATGGACACATAGAGGAGAGTCAGCCAGAGATCCCCTCTGAGTTTTGTGTCTCTACCACACAGGGGACTTTTCTGTTGTTGTTGTTCATTCGCACAGTCGAGTCTGACTTTTCGTGATCCCATGGACCACATCACGCCAGGCCCTCCTGCTCCTGGGTTTGCTTAATTTCATGTTTGTTGCATTGATAACACTGTCTAACAATCTCATCCTTTGCCATCCCCTTCTTCTTTTACCTTCAATCTTTCCCAGCATCAGGGTCTTGTCTAGTGAATGCTTCCTTCTCATATGGTGGCCAAAGTATTTGAGCTTCAGCTTCAGTATCTGGCCTTCCGGGGAACAGTCAGGATTGATTTCTTTTAGGATTGCCTAGTTTGATCTCCTTGCAGTCCAACGGACTCTCAAGAGTCTTCTCCAGCACCATAATTCAAAAGCATCTGTTCTTTGGTGCTCGGCCTTCCTTATGGTCCAACTCTTACAGCCATACATTACTACTGGGAATGCCATTGCTTTGACCATATGGACGTTTGTTGGCAGAGTGATGTCTCTACTTTTTATTACACTGTCTAGGTTTGCCATCGCTTTCCTCCCAAGGAGCAGATGTCTTTTAATTTCGTGGCTGCAGTCACCATCTGCAGTGATCTTGGATCCCAGGAACGTGAATTCTGTCACTGCTTCCATGACTTCCCCTTCTATTTGCCAAGGAGTGATGGCGCTGGATGCCATAATCTTAGGTTTTTTGATGTTGAGTTTCAAGTCAACTTTGTCGCTCTCCTCTTTCACTCTGAGCAAGAGGCTCTTTAGGTCCTCTTCATTTTCTGCCATTAGAGTGGTATCGTCTGCATATCTGAGGTTGTTGATCTTTTCCCCGGCAATCTTAATTCTGGCTTGTGATTCATCCAAGCCAGCATTTTGCATGATGTACTCTGCATATAAATTAAATAAGCAGGGTGACAATATACATCCTTGTCATACTCCTTTTCCTATGCTAAACCAATCAGTTGTTCCATATCCGGTTCTAACTGTTGCTTCTTGACCCTTATCAAGAAACATGTGAGGTGGTCTGGTACTCCCGTCTCTTTAAGGACTTGCTATAATTTGTGATCCACATAAAGGCTTTAGTGTAGTCAATGAAGCAGAAATAGATGTTTTTCTGGTACTCCCTTGCTTTCTCCTTTTCCAGCAAATGTTGGCAATTTGATCTCTAGTTCCTCTACCTCTCTGAAACCAAGCTTGTACTTCTGGCAGTTCTCTATCCATGTACTGCTGAAGCCTAGCTTGTAGGATCTTGAGCATGACCTTGTTAGTGTGTGAAATGAGTGCAATTGTGCAATAGGTTGAACATTCCTTGGCATTGCCCTTCTTTGGGACTGGAATGTAAACTGACCTTTTCCAGTCCTGTGGCCACTGTTGCGACTGTTCTACCATGCCACAAACGTCACCAATTCATTTAGTTCTTGAATGTTCATGATGGTTCGTGGTTTGCAAACTGGGCACTCCATGAACCAAATTTTCATGGCACATGTCCATACCTACTGACAACAATATGATACCACCACTGCCCCCCTCCCCCAATTTCTGTAATGGCTGCAATAGGTATAGTAAATATTCACTCATTCAGTCCTCTCAAATATTGCTATCAGAAGTTGCATAGGTAGGAGGCTGCTTACAGAAAGTTTTAGTGAAATAGCTATCAATGGAGATATGGTGTGAGGACACAATGATGTCAGATAAATGACATTCAGGTCTGGCACACACACACACAAAGAAAGAGATGATAAAATGGACTGTATTACTTTAGGTTGTATCATTTTTTAAAAAAAAATGTTTCCTATTGTTAAAAAAATTCCTCCATGTAGTCAACATACATTATAAAGACAGAGTGTCTAGGTTAGTCTGTTCCTTGCTATACTAGTTTTCTTCTTGCAAGGATTTATTTTCATGTAAGGGAGCATTTAACAATGTGCTCCCCTTCTGCAGTCAGAAGTGGTTCAGTCCATTCTACCGCACGGGGCTCTCACGATTCTGCTGCATAAGACCAGGCCTCAAGAGTTTAACACCAAGAGGTTATTTGTATGTCATTAACACTCAACTTTCCTCCATTTTAAGATCAAATATTAACATTCCACCATACCTGTGATCTAAAGTAAAACTCAGGAGAGAATCAATAAAAATTGTAAATGAAGTTTTATGTTAAAATATTTTGGTGTACATGGATGGACAGATATTGTATTTCTGGTTATGTGTAACAAACAC